ATCTACATTTTCCTAAACTTCAAAAAAAAACATCCACATTAACTAAACTCTACATTAACATCACAACTCTCAATGCTTCTTAGACTTTCTACCCTTTTTCTCCCCATGCGCGTGCAACGGCTTTCTTCCTCGATTGAGTAAGTTCGTCTTGAAATTCACCTTCTCAGTCTCAATTTGGGCAGGTCTCACATGACTGTCAAAATATTCTTCTGATTGTGTCGTAATTGTAGCTTTCACCTCATTCAAATGCGTCGTGAGCAAGTACATTGTAAGTTGTGCCCGTTCATAGTCACTGTCGAACTGGTCAAGCTTCTTGGAATATCGATCTGGATCCAGCAAGTAATTGGAGACAAATAGTCCACAATCAAACCTGTAATATAACAAATAATTACCATGGTCATGATGCGAACAAATAATTATCGAACTTAATTAGAACAGTGCACGATTGAACAACAACAAAGGGTACCCATTTGGTTGGCAAGCAACATCCCGGCGATATCTAACCACAAAGTCCACAAATGAAAACGTCCCGCAGATATCATCCTTAAGCAACCAGTCTAGACCCAATTTCTGCAAATGAAAACATCCCCCTCATCGATATTTAACGACAAAATGAAAAACGACTAACAACTAAGCAATAAGTCAAGTTTTAAAACTTGAAGAACAAGAAGCAAACCAGTTTATGCATCCTTGCATCATATTCTAGGTTATGAATTCCTGGTATTGAGTCCCAGATTTCAATTTCTTTGGCTTCCATGTTAAAGACCGCCAGATAGAAGTGGGACACCGTGAGGTTGAAAATTGGGACATGAATCTGAAATAATGCACAAACAAACAATAATTATCAATTTAACATAGGAGTGTGAAGCCATTTCCTTTTAGAAAACAACATTACAACATACCTTACTGCAGTAAAGTAGCTCACTTATACGGTATCGCTCAAGTATCTTATATGACCGCATGTTTTCCATAAAATGCTCCTCGTTTTTGCAATGATACGCACGATCCTAGAAAAATAAAACACAGTTACCCACACAAGCTACATGTAACAAACAAATAGATTAATTTCATGACAAGAATAGACAAAGCAGACAACTGTACCGAAACTGAAGGTGGAAAGAACCAAGACACTCCACCACTGCGACCGCAACTTCGTTCTTCTAGTGTCTTGCACAGACATGCCATTTCTATAATCTAATGCATCATCATCACATATACCAAAGTCAGCAATACAAGTTTAATCTACTAAATTACACACATAAAGGAACTCACCCTTGTTGAAATTTTGGTCCTGGGCAAAAACTCGACCAAATCTTCACGTAACAACTCAAGAGCCCCGCCATCAAGACGAACCAATACGTCCCTGTTATACAAGACCAAGTTCAAACACCACAACATTAGAATAAGGCAAATACCAAAAATTTCCTACAGATATGATCCAATCTTACTTGTAATGATTTCGGGAGGTACCTTTCGGGAAGCGAACTACTAAAAGCAAATTGAATCATCTTTACTGCCTCCAGAGTCAATGGTGTCTGAACAACAAAGGGAGGAGCACGGTACAAAGGTTGTCCTTTCTTAGCTCTGGGATTTGCACGTTCGAATGGAGAGACCACATACAAACTAGGCTTCAATTTAGATACACTACGTAGTCCACCTCCCTTTCGCCCCTTTATTGTTCAAAAACATAAAAACAAAACAAGTTCATTAGTAACCACACCATAAGTACAAATAATTAGAAAACTTAATAAAGTGTAATACCTTCACAGTCTTGGCACAACCATCATTAGCAGCAACACTTTCATCACTCAACAATATGAATTTCTCAACTTTAGACGCTTTCGCCTGCTTGCAAGGAGACTTTTTCACAACTTTGACAGAAGGAGATTCAGAACCGCAGTCATCTCCAATTTCCCCCTCAGCTTCTCCCCAATTCTTAACACCTAACCCTTGAGTCTTGACAGATTCGGAGGTAGGAGAAATGGGTTCACTTGGTTTTTCAACCTCAGCCTTCTGATTGCCCTTTTCCCCTCTGATAAGCTGCTCCGTTGACAACAAAACAGCTGCAGAAGCTTTCACATTATCAGCCTCATCCTTCTGATCGTTCTTTTTCAACTCAGTAGGCTGCTCCCTTGACAACGGATCACCTATAGTTGCTTTCACTGCCTCTATAATGGACTTCACTTGACTACCAATTTCGTCTCTAAAAGCCCGAAATTCGTTCTCCATATTCACAACCCGACTCATTAGCTCATTCTCTCTGGAAGCAGCATCACCCATTGCAACTCTAAATTCTTGCCTAAAGTTGTCAATTCTACCCTCCATGGTAGTAAACCGAGCGTCAATACGCTCACAGAGAAGCAGCTCATCACCGTCGGGTTTTTGCCGTTTCCCATCTCTTTTTTCCCGTTTTCTTGCAGGTGATTTCAAACCTACATCCTCAGCTGATCTTTTACCCGAACTGCTGGAAACCTACAAATTAATTAAAAAGGGAACCAAATGTACCATTAGCATGCTCCAACTCGTCAAAAGAATCAAATATACTATCAGTCTTACCACTTCTGTTAACAATAACTCCACGTCTCTGCTCCCCCAGCTCAACAAATCCAAACTCCTATCAATAGTTTCGAAAATACCATTTGCATGCTCCAAGAATATTAACTACAAAAAAAAAATACTATAATCAACATGATGATTAATCATTACAAATATGTAGAAAGTAGGGATTAGCAATTATTTACCTCCAAGAACAGCAAGCAACCCGGTATATACTTTCTCCCCTCAGCATTATGGTCGCAGATGCATTTGACCAATTCATTGAAGCAAAACGATGCCCAATTCTTCTTCGGAATATCGGCAACATCGAGGACAGCGTATACCGAAGATAACGAAAAGTCATCTCTTCTAGTTGGTACTAATAGCACCCCCATTACGTACAAAATAAACGTTTGAAGAAATAGATCACCGCTATCTTTCATCTCCGACAAAGCCTTCCGCATTAAGCTTGTCGAAATCGCCTGTCGGGCACAATCAACTGTCGAATACACTCTAAATGGATTCAATTCCTCGGATCTTCGTCCCACTTCTTCACCATTCAAGATGATATCAGTACCTCCCTCAGGCACGCCCATAATTCGCTCGAAATCTTTGGCCGAAATATGGACTTTCAACCCATAAGCCTGAATTGAGCTTTCTTCCACATTAAAGCTCTTCAAAAGGATCTCCAACAACTCACGTTGGAGCATTCTTCCTTTGACTTCAAGCATACGACCAAAGCCACATCTCTTAATGGCCTCTGATTGACAAGCCTGTAAATTTGAGACTACTGAGAATACTTTCCTAGGAGAACAGCGGGTGCTAAAAATTTCATGACTCTTCGTCTTCATTATAGAACAATTTTAGCAAACTGCAAAATTAAAACAACAAAAAAATTATAAGCATGCCTTGAAACACGAATTATAAGCATGCCGAAGAGTACTAACAAAATACACAAAGCCAGAGTCGTCCACCACTGATCTAAAGAAGCAACTTTCAGTTTTCACACTTAAACACATTCGAGAAAACGTGGTTATGACAAAGTTTCATTCGAGAAAAGGATCATTTAATCATTCGGTAAACACATTCTCCAGGTAATGAGTTCAATCCTGGTTTTCAATATATGGCTTTTATCAATATTGAACAAATGCAAGACTATACCAGAGCTCACAAGCACACTTGCCTCGATATCAAGTTCTAACTACCAGCTTCCATTAAATTTCACCCAAAATGCAAATTCTCACGGCCGTGACATGACCCGTGAGAAGCAAAGAGTAGTTTTTATATCCCAGACAATCTCATGGCTTTGGCTACAAAAATCACGGACGTTAAAATAAGGCGTGAAACTAAAAACACCTTGTATGTAAAAATGGACTTCTCACGGCTCATCTTTAAATATCACGGGCGTGAGATTAACCCGTGATATGGGCACAACTGAAACTCAAAAACACGCCTCACATCTGAAAATCTCACGGCTCATCTTTAAATATCACGGGCGTGAGATTAACCCGTGATATGGGCACAACTGAAACTCAAAAACACGCCTCACATCTGAAAATCTCACGGCCGGGAGATGAACCGTTAGATTTTTTTTAAAAAAGGGGGAATTCCAGGGGGTTTCACGGGTTGGGTTCGACAGTATCACGGCCGTGAGATGAGCCGTGTTTGTGTAATTGAAATGCTGGAATTCTCACGGCTCATCTGTTAATCTCATGGGCGTGAGATCAACCCGTGAGATGGTCACAGCTGAAACCCAAAAAACACGCCTCACAACTTAAAACTCACGGCCGGGAAATGTGCCGTTAGAATGTTTTTTAAAAAAATGTAAGTTCCAGGAGGTTTCACGGGTTATATCACGCCCGGGACAAAAACCGTGAGATGGAACCCTCAAATTGGAAACACCCTATTTACTTCCTCTTTTCTACTTGAACCCGACCCCCAACCGTGAAGAAAGCAGCTAAAAGGTTGTCCAAAAAGAATAAACATCATTTAGCAAGTAAAGCAGGAGGCACGGAATGTACAATAAAGACTAAAACTGGGAGTAACTCCCAAGCTGCCGTATATTCTAAGGCCAACAACCATGCTCTAAATATCCTAACTAAGTTTGACCTTAATGTCTCATCATTCATGGAAGCTCTTTTACCCACTGCACTAAACTTCTTTTCTACATTATATACACAATTCTAACTCCACAGACAGTCCCTTCGGATACATCCGATAACTCCACAAACAGAAAACTCATACTATGAAGTGAACAGTTAAGATAAGCACCCATTTCTGTTGGTTAATCGCATGCTTGGAGCCACTAACCATAGCAAAGAGACTTAAATCAATCAAACAAATCATGGTCTTCAAACTTAACTACATTCATCAATTGGCTAAACAGAGAAAAATTCCCAACTTTCTCAGTGAACACGGCCTTTCTATCTACCATATCATATCATATCAATCCTCCCACGAAGAAGATGGAAGAACTACAACAACAACATCCATCCAAAGCTTCCTCGCCAAAGGAAGCATCATCAACAACCACAACCGCAACCACAACAACAACAACCACAACTGCTGTGAATTCTTCAGACTCGAATTCTTCTACCCTAACAACAGAAGAACCCAATGCTCCTCCTCAACAGAAGAAGATTGAGGAACAACAACAACAACAACAACAACAACAACAAGAGCCTGCTAAGGATGTTGCTGAAACGGAGACAAATCAAGCACAACCTCAACAGCAAAAACAAGGTGAAGAGAAGGTAAATGCTGCAAATTCTCCTTCAAAACAAGTGAAGGAACAACAGGAACCGCCATTGCAGCTAATTATCAAGCTAAACACAAAGAAGATAGTACTAACCGAAAAAAGTTGCGGTGGAGGAGGGGTTTTGTGCAGAGTCTTCGTTAGCTATCGATGGGAATTCACTAGTCAATTGTTCTGGTTCGTGGCATTTCCTATCCAGCACTAAGTTAGTAGGAGGGGGAAAATTGGAAGCACAGAGATTCAATTGAACTGCTGTCAAAAACTAGAACGAAGTAAACGATACATGGAATAGAATTCAAGAGTAAAAAGTTGCTTACAGATAACCAACAAACAAATGATTTGGGAGAGATTTATCAAACTCCTGGGTTCGCACTGCAGAGCATACCCTGAGACAGCGACCGCGAGCTGGTGGAATCGATGCCGACACGGCGGGGAGTGAAGCGGGAGAAGCGATTGAATAGCACCCAGCTGAGCAATTGGCCTTGAGAATGTGGAAGAAAGGCGAGCTGGGAAAAGAGAAGCGGCCGAGGTGGGCGTGGGTTTGACGCCGGCGGTCTTCGTTTGCAATCGACGAAGAGATGCTCGCTCTCGTCGTCCCTTGCTCGCCGCCTTCACTGTCGTCGTCGGAATCCGGAATCCGAATCGCCGCCTTCACTGCCGCCTTCTATTCGTCGTCACCCACTGCTCGCCGTCTTCACTCGTCGTCACCCACTGCGTGGAGAGGATCGCCGTCTTCACTGCTCGCTAGCTGCGTGGAGAGGATCGAAGGAAGGAAGAGGATCGAAGAAAGAGGGGTTTCGGCGGTGAGAAGAAGAGTGTAATTGTAATTGGTTTCAGAAAACCGGTTGTACCGGTCATCAACACACAAATAAAATAATAAATTAATAATTTAAATGAAATCTAATGGTTGATATAGTTTGGACATGATCTAATGGCTGTAAATGTTTTATAGTACCAATACTATAAAGCACACTAAAATGCCTCGCTAAAAGGTTGTCCAAAAAGAATAAACATCATTTAGCAAGTAAAGCAGGAGGCACGGAATGTACAATAAAGACTAAAACTGGGAGTAACTCCCAAGCTGCCGTATATTCTAAGGCCAACAACCATGCTCTAAATATCCTAACTAAGTTTGACCTTAATGTCTCATCATTCATGGAAGCTCTTTTACCCACTGCACTAAACTTCTTTTCTACATTATATACACAATTCTAACTCCACAGACAGTCCCTTCGGATACATCCGATAACTCCACAAACAGAAAACTCATACTATGAAGTGAACAGTTAAGATAAGCACCCATTTCTGTTGGTTAATCGCATGCTTGGAGCCACTAACCATAGCAAAGAGACTTAAATCAATCAAACAAATCATGGTCTTCAAACTTAACTACATTCATCAATTGGCTAAACAGAGAAAAATTCCCAACTTTCTCAGTGAACACGGCCTTTCTATCTACCATATCATATCATATCAATCCTCCCACGAAGAAGATGGAAGAACTACAACAACAACATCCATCCAAAGCTTCCTCACCAAAGGAAGCATCATCAACAACCACAACCGCAACCACAACAACAACAACCACAACTGCTGTGAATTCTTCAGACTCGAATTCTTCTACCCTAACAACAGAAGAACCCAATGCTCCTCCTCAACAGAAGAAGATTGAGGAACAACAACAACAACAACAACAACAACAACAAGAGCCTGCTAAGGATGTTGCTGAAACGGAGACAAATCAAGCACAACCTCAACAGCAAAAACAAGGTGAAGAGAAGGTAAATGCTGCAAATTCTCCTTCAAAACAAGTGAAGGAACAACAGGAACCGCCATTGCAGCTAATTATCAAGCTAAACACAAAGAAGATAGTACTAACCGAAAAAAGTTGCGGTGGAGGAGGGGTTTTGTGCAGAGTCTTCGTTAGCTATCGATGGGAATTCACTAGTCAATTGTTCTGGTTCGTGGCATTTCCTATCCAGCACTAAGTTAGTAGGAGGGGGAAAATTGGAAGCACAGAGATTCAATTGAACTGCTGTCAAAAACTAGAACGAAGTAAACGATACATGGAATAGAATTCAAGAGTAAAAAGTTGCTTACAGATAACCAACAAACAAATGATTTGGGAGAGATTTATCAAACTCCTGGGTTCGCACTGCAGAGCATACCCTGAGACAGCGACCGCGAGCTGGTGGAATCGATGCCGACACGGCGGGGAGTGAAGCGGGAGAAGCGATTGAATAGCACCCAGCTGAGCAATTGGCCTTGAGAATGTGGAAGAAAGGCGAGCTGGGAAAAGAGAAGCGGCCGAGGTGGGCGTGGGTTTGACGCCGGCGGTCTTCGTTTGCAATCGACGAAGAGATGCTCGCTCTCGTCGTCCCTTGCTCGCCGCCTTCACTGTCGTCGTCGGAATCCGGAATCCGAATCGCCGCCTTCACTGCCGCCTTCTATTCGTCGTCACCCACTGCTCGCCGTCTTCACTCGTCGTCACCCACTGCGTGGAGAGGATCGCCGTCTTCACTGCTCGCTAGCTGCGTGGAGAGGATCGAAGGAAGGAAGAGGATCGAAGAAAGAGGGGTTTCGGCGGTGAGAAGAAGAGTGTAATTGTAATTGGTTTCAGAAAACCGGTTGTACCGGTCATCAACACACAAATAAAATAATAAATTAATAATTTAAATGAAATCTAATGGTTGATATAGTTTGGACATGATCTAATGGCTGTAAATGTTTTATAGTACCAATACTATAAAGCACACTAAAATGCCTCTTAGTGTGTACCTATCGCCAGCGAGGAGTGGAGGTTGGATCTTTTCTTTCAGAATTGCTTTTGCTCTCCACGTCAATGACATGGGTCTAAGAGAAAACCTAGCAAAGGGTTTTGTGGAAGGAGTAATCTTCAGCAGTCTTTGAGATCCTCCATTTCATTATATAGTCCAGCAGAAAGTAAAGACAGAATGGATTACAGACGCATGCCACTTGGCTGCTCTCCATTTGTCAATTTGAAGATTAAACAGTAAATTAAACGGCTAAATGCTATTACAATTAGCTAGTAACAAAACGACACAGTTTCAATAAAACTCCTCTGCAGCTGATAGAAACGTTTCCTCCTTCTTGTAAGTTTCGCCCTTCTTCTTCTTCCATGACTCTGTTCTTCTTCTCTTCATTTCTTCTGCAAACTGGATTTAGAATCCTGACAGAGTCAGGGTGAGGGTCACATATATAACATACCACTTGAAAGAATTAAATTGAATCTTGCCCAAGTTTAAGACAAACCAATTATTCCAGGAGTTTAGTCCTATATCTTATTGATTGCCCATCGCCGGCGACGTATGCAAGTTCGAGTTCTCCATAATTGTGTTTACAACATCGTCGGAGATGCAGCAAGGAGGGTTGACTGGGGTTCTGGGAATGCCGAAGTTACCAACTAAAAGCTAAGCCCAATATTTTTGAAGGTTTAGACGTACCGACTATCCTGGGAGTTGCCGCATTCAGATCTTCAACAAAGGGGTTGCAATTGGTGCCCAGTGCCGGCGACGGCGAGGAGTTCTCCACAATTGCGATTGCTATGAACCACTTCGTCGGACATGGAGCAAGGAGGGTTCACTACGTGGGAGGTGGAAGGAAGGAGGAATGGAGGATGGTTGACTGGGTTTTTGGAAGGAAGTGAGATGGTTAGGCCCAAGATTGCCGAATGTGTTCAGTCGGGCCCAGCAGAATGGAAAGTCTCTCTATAACAAAACGCAGAGCAACATTTTAATTGATGGGAAATGACGTTATTGTCCTTCCGTAAATCAATCAGGGGTCTTGGAAATTCAAATTCCTGAAAATCCAACTCATGTTTTGCCATTATATATTTTGTAGATTAGTAGAAGATTAGTGAACATTGATTGACCTCTCAGCTGCCAATGCTAGTCAAGATGGCACATTTACATAAGACTCTTTTGTGTGTGATTATGTAGAAGGTAACTTCCAAGTGAGAACACGTAATCATATAGTATACGATATGGCATCACATTTCGGGTTATCTCGTGCTCATTGTAAAGCTTAACTTATGAACATATTTTTTTTCTTCTCATTTCTATATATTCTTTAGAGTTGCTTATCAATGCATATCATGCCTTGTTCTCATGGCTTTGTAGACATAATTATTTCTTCCTTCCTTTTTTTGGAATATGGTAAATGATGGCGTGTCTCTTTTTACACATTTATCGCTATGAGGTGTGTTATGCGAACAATTATTTGCTGTATCTAAGGCAGGTTCATACTTACTGTTGTAATCATTTTTCTTTGTTGATTCGCCACTTATGAAATCAAAATTAATCAAAAGAATTATAGATGGTGGAGTTTTACAACTGTTTTACCATTCAAAAATTCATGTTCTCTCCTTAATTCTCGGTAGGGTTAGTTTTGTCTATCCATACCCTGTTAATTAATTAGACTCCAAGTAAAAGCCACAATAAAAACAAAACTACCCTATTCTCTTTCTCCTCATGTTCTGCCTACATCAATACTTCCTGAATTTCAAAACATAAACTTAGGTTTCCTTTTATTCTTATCTCCATAATTCAGACACTTCGAGTAACACCACATTTCTGGTGAAATCAATGCCTCTATATTATTAGTCATTAATTAAAGAATCACCGCCTCACAATGTCCTGCAACCTCATTTGTTGTCACTTGTCACCCTCCTTCAATATCCATATTTTTACTATTTAGGCAGATTATTGACACTAGTTACAGAATACTACCGGTAACTGCAATGCTACATCTCTTTCTCTTTTGAAAAATAGCGAGCCACCAAAAATATTAATACATATTTAACAACGACAATTTTGATATTGGCAAATTGTCGTTCTCGAGGCAAATTGTCTGCTGTCGTTTCATTCGACTGATTTTTGGCCAACAATTGATAGTCCGTAAATGAAATCAATTATTCCCTTATTAAAAACATGTAGCTAATTGTTTATCTCTTTCTCAATTTGTTGTTAATTACAACTTACAAGTATATAGATTGAAATTTTCCTGCAACGAGAGTGAAAGTAAGAAGGGTATTTTTGTCTTCACATTGATCTATTTGTTTCTCATTCATTCTTATAAAAATACACATACTGGGATTTGAATCGTGGTCATTTTCAACTATGATAAGAATCTTAACCAATCATGCTACATAGATTAGTTGTATCATTTTAAATAAAAAACATACAT